TATGTGGCGCTGCTCCTGGTCTACGTGGCCCTGCTATTGGTCTTCATTGATGATGTGGCGTTTGCCACCTGTCGTGATTGCTGACGTGGCCCTGCTATTGGTCTTTATTGATGATGTGGCATTTGCCACCTGTCGTGATTGCTGACGTGGCATTGTCCACGCTGTCTACATGAGGTGACTGGTTGCTAGGGAAGAGGAAGAACGGGATCTGTGGATGTAGGGAATCGGGTACTCACCTGTAATTGACGTCGTCACTGGAAAATCTGCTGTGACTTCAGGGTCTTCATGAGATAAAGTGCCACGTGGCACTACTGTATGTGATCAGGACTACTATATTTGTTATCATCTTCTGGATGTTGAGGTGGAGAGGGAAGTAGCCCGGAGAAGGAGAGGGGTTTGACGGGTTTTTCCTTTTGTGATCTTTTCCACCTTCTCTTCTGTCTGATCCCCCTCCACTCTCTTCGTCAGATGGTAATGAGTTATTGTTTGATTTATCATTTCACGATTTGGAGACTCTGATGCAGATACTGAGACTACTTGTAATTGACGACTTCTGAGTATCTACTAGATTGGGTTCATTACAAAGGCTGCACAGGAAAAATGCAGGCGCCCCTTCACTTAGGGCGGGCATGAGGCTTGCAGGGGCCCCCAAATGTCACGGATGCTGGGGGCCTAATGGCCTCGGGAGGGGTCATTCCTCGCAGAAGAAGAAGAAGGTCTCCATGGATAGAGGGAATCTAAGACCAGTTGTTGAAAATTTCTCAAAGAAGGCAGGATCGTATAAAATTCTGAAACTCACTGGAGACGGAACATAGGGTCCAACTTGAGGCTGAGTAGCTAAACATAGCAGCTGCCGGACTGTACTGTATAGGGGATGGCCACACTGAACACACATGGTGTATATTGACTTTGAACAAATCTGCCAGAATCAGTGTGGTCATTCTGGTCGGGAAATTCAGGCCGAGTCGTGCTATCATCAAACGGAATGAAGTTACATGCTGATCAGCAAAGCAAATTGCAGGCTGTTGACTGGCATTCTGTTTCTTCAAAATTCTTCCCTCACCACCCCTTGTGCATACTTTTGTTCTCCTGTTGACAAAAGTGCGCCATGGTTCCTCTTGTGGTTCATGTTTTGCAGATATCACATCAGAATGGACTGGCTTGCTGGGCATCATCTTCGTTGTGCTGACCATCGTCGTGCCTATCATATTGGTGGCCAGGTTTGCTGTGAAGAGGCAACTGCACCGATACAAATATCGTGAAAAAAAAAGCAGCTCTATGATGATGGTGAGTGAACTTGCAGGGGATGGATAAGGTTGGAGGGTTGTCTTGAATGTTGAAGGCCTTACTGAGGAGTGAGTTTCAGGTGTGGGTTGCTTGTTAAACTGACAGAAGATGTGCTAGCCGATGTGGCTACTCTCTCTCTCTCTCTCTCTCTCTCTCTCTCTCTCTCTCTCTCTCTCTCTCTCTCTCTCTCTCTCTCTCTCTCTCTCTCCAGCCTGGCCACAGATCTCTCTGGGAAGCAAATGAAAGAAGCGAGGCTCATATCTCTCTCTCTCTCTCTCTCTCTCTCCAGCCTGGCCACAGATCTCTCTGGGAAGCAAATGAAAGAAGCGAGGCTCAAATCTCTCTCTCTCTCTCTCTCTCTCTCCAGCCTGGCCACAGATCTCTCTGGGAAGCAAATGAAAGAAGCGAGGCTCAGGTGGTTTGGAGGTACTGACTGGCCAATCCCCCAAAGCTTGACGTGAAGGCTGGTTTGGGAGGCCATGTGAGCATGCCAGTACAATGCCCTGAGGGCTCCCAGCATCGCGCCAGTGCACCCCTGAGTGCACTATAAAGAGGTCACCACCATCCCCCATTCAGTATAGGCTCCAGATTAGTATCTCAGCCAATTTGTCTCGGAATCTTGTCGCTGAGAGTCTTATCGTTTTGTGTCAGCACTTCATGGTATGTGTGGAGCATTTGTCCTCTGCGATAGCGGGCTGTGTGGTCTAAGATCCAGACTTCAGGCCAAGCAGGCAATCGTCAAGGAGCTTGCTGATAGAGCTGGTGGCTGATCTGAGATGGAGACCATTTGTTTGATAATGCTAGCCCTGGACTTTATTGTGTTTATCCGATTCCACCGGGAATTGAACTCCTGTTTTGTCCACCAAGAATAGGGGTGTATTAGTTAAGACGTTGTCTACCAAGAACAGTGAATCGAACTCCTGGCATGCTCCTGTTTATTCAGCCACATGACCGTGTGGGTGACACGGAGGCTTGTACGAGTTAAGGCTTTGCCCTTTCCTTTTTCGAGCAAGGGAGGGGATATGGAAGGCGTCAATGAGAATAGGAGAGCATTGACTCTACCACTCGCCTATGGTGATGATGTCGGAAGTTATCAGGCAGCTTGCGTACTCTCTATTGACAGATCGATTGTGCATGAATGCTGATTCCTTTTTCTTCTACCAGTTGTTAAACAGGACTAGCCCGTAAAACTGCTGTATCCATCAGGATTCGAACTGTGATCTATATTTCAATAGTAGCTGCTAACCAAGGAGCTTGCAGACTCCCATGTAGCCATTGATGAACAGGTCATTCCGTCACAAGCTGAGGTAGCTGCGAAGTTGTTCTTGATTGGTCAGTTATCTGGATGTCTTCGCAAGAGAGGGTGTAACAGAGCTTCCACCCAGTGTATTTCTCGGAAAATTTTCCCCTCTCACTGCTCTCACCCTCCATCACCTTCCTGCTCTGCAGTGAGAATGACTAGGATATTACCCCATGGGGATGCTGAGAGATAAATTGAGGAGCCAGTGGTCAGGTGAGGGGCTTTGGGACTCATGAGGGGGACCACTGTGAGATGGACAGTGGTTAAAGTGTTTGCCTTGCATACGGAAGGTCACAGGTTCGACTCCGATGGAGTGGGATGCCTTGTGAGTGGTAGAGGTCCTGGCGACCAGTTGTCAACTCCTCTATTGTATCCACCTCTGACTTACTTTGTCCATGTGTGATCGGGAGAGAACTTCGTCCTCTCACTCCCATCAACATTTATCATGAACTTTCTGATTTACATTCGTACTGATTCGCTCCTTGGTCTCCACAGGTCTCATCTGCATCCCTTTTTTTTTTGTTAATCGCTGTTTATTAATAAGACTGAAACCAGGTGTAGCATCCATTACAATAGATACAAAGCAACGCTTCTGTTGGTTATGGCCAAGGGACCCAGAAACAATGGCATTGATTGCTTCCTTTTTCAGAGAAGGATGTACTAACCATCTACCCCTGTTTCCTTTATCCTTTTTTAGCCTCCATGTTGTTGGGAACAAAACCCTTTCCCTTGATGGCAGTAGTTCCCCTAAAAAGCCCAACCTACTTGAACATCAGACTGAATAATCTCTCTCAGTCCACTGTGAAAACAGTAGGAAAAAGGACAACCCAGACCATTCAGATCTTGTGTTTGTAATGATCCTGGATATCTCAGAGTGCAAAACTCAAAGAACGACAATGCCGTTCAATTCCAAATGAATGAAAGAGATTGGGAATTGGGAAGAGCAATTGTTGCATACTGTAACGGTGCAGACCAGAACAAGAACCGACCTCTCTAACAAAGTACAAGATAGCGCAGCGGAAAACTTAGATACCAATGATCCGAACAATCAATATTGCAATGCAGCCCAGAATATACATCATCATCATCATTCCATGGTGTGAAGGGGTCTGGCGCTCACACAGGAAGAATGCGCCAGCCCCAACCATACACAGACGAAGAAGAGGAGGGGTTAGACGAAGAGGAGGGGAAGATGGGAATGTCGTCAACACCAAGTCTTCGGCACAGGCCCAAATAGTCCCTCGTCAAAATGTCTGAATCCCAATGTCGAGTCTGGATCCACTGTCGTCAAGTCTCAAGTCACAACTCTCTCTCTCCGTAGTAGTCCGCTGATACTGAGAAGTCAGGTGGTGAGAGGGGCAGAAGAGATGGTGGACTTAAGAAGAGGAAGAAGAAGAACTCTCTCTCTCTCTCTCTCAGTCCGGTACTAACCTGTGAAGTTGGCGCCTTGATGCAGGTACCTCGAAGATGGAGCTGGAGCTATGGCGCCACAGGTAAGTCCCACTGGCCTCCGCCAGCCATCTCTCCCAACTCTACTACTACCACCTACTAGCGCCCAGCGCTGAAGACTACTGCTATGGCTACTAGCGCCCAGCGCTGAAGACTACTGCTAGCGCTAAGCTACTCCTGCAGCCCTCCTCCTGAGTGCTGCGGCCGAA